TTTTCGGAGAACGGATGACGCTACGAGTCTCATACTCTAAAACTATAATTCTAGCACAACTCAGAACAAAAAGATCTTGGTCCAATAGATTGTTTGTCAAAAAATTTTTTTTTAATTTTTCGGGCTTATAATTAAACTTATTGATTTGTGCTTTTGGAACAATGTTTGGAACAACTAGAACAATCTATATCGGTATCGGAATGCTTTATTTTCAAAAAATGGGGTGCCAGGTCAAAAACATTTTTTTCATTTTTTGGACTTATAATTCAACTTACGGATTTGTCCTTTTGGAACAATGTTTGGAACAACTAGAACAATCTGTTGCGGTATCAGAATGTTCGATTTTCGAAAAGTGGAGTGCCAGCTCAAGAAATCATTTTTTTTTTTGTTTTATTTGAAAACCGTTTCGAATGAAGCAGTATCACTTTGGAACAATGTGGTACAAAGTCAGAACAATCTGAAACAACTTTCAAAATTATAAATTTCAAAAAATGGGGTGCCAACTTCATACACTCACGCAGGAAGGGTGTTTGAGATAGCTTGTACTTCTCATCAGCGGGCCGCATATAACAGGACTAAGGCGATCTTTGCCAGGTCGACAGCTCGGAGCGCGGATAGGTGTAACGCGCGTGACTTTTAATCCGATAATCGTGCACACGCATCCGCCACCCTTTTCCTTCTCCCATATAGCCGGCCGAACCTAACCTGGTTCAACGCGAGCTTTCGAACAGATCGAATTGACTCGCTCTAGCTCTCTCTCTCTTTCTCTCTCTCTCTCTCTCTCTGCCTACCTGACCATTACCTGGTCATGGCTGTCAGCACGGGCGCGCTCAGCGCCCGGCGCGAATAATATAATAAATCACGCGGGTAGAAAACGATACGAGGTGACTTCCGAGCGAGCTACCGAGCTACGTTTCCAACTCGCGAACGAGCGAGCTCGGTGTATCTCGGCGTACAACGCTCGCCCATACGTAGGTACGTACTTACCTTCGTGCTTAGGTGTATATCAGCGGCGCCGCGATCTCACGACTTCCATGTTAGTCGCACTCCCTGCTCTCGCTGCTGCTGCTGGTTACGAGCGAGAGCTACGTCCGGTAACGGCGATGACGACGATGACGACAGGGACGACGAAGACGACGACGACGACCCCGTGCGAGAGAGCATCGATCGTCGCCCGCTTGCCGTCTCTCATGTTTTTCCGCTCGAAATTGTTATGTAATTCCGCGACATTGATCGTTGCGGAATGCTTAGACGCGGATGGGGAACCTATATCATACTGACATCTCGATACTTGATACTTGACAGTTGTACAATATCTAAGCGATTACTTAATACAATATTCCACTTTGAAGTATTTGAGTTACGTTATTGAGATATATTTCTTTGTAAATATAGTGGAAATGTTAATTAAGAATCGTATTGTCAAGTTGATCGACAAAATTATATTCCAGTAATACAATTATCTTTAAGAGTTCGGAGTCAAATTAATAATTTATCTTGTCTTTTATGACATTTGGATCGATAGAAATTTTCGTTATGTTTGTTAGGATATTCTGTGTAAAAACAAGTCTTGTACGAAGAAATATATTTTACAATATACAGAACCATTAATTATTTATTTATTGATGCTTGTCAAGATCAATAATTATTTTTTCAAGAGACTGTTTAAAAAAATAATTGAATGTCGGGAAAAAAATTTTAGCAGAGCGTGGTTTCGATCCACGGACCTCTGGGTTATGGGCCCAGCACGCTTCCACTGCGCCACTCTGCTGTTGAAGGACAAGGAGATTAATGCATGTCACCACCTATGTGCCGTGACGTAGCCTAAAAAAATATATTCAAAAAGTAAACCTCTGTTGCTAGCAGAGCGTGGTTTCGATCCACGGACCTCTGGGTTATGGGCCCAGCACGCTTCCACTGCGCCACTCTGCTATTGAAGGACACGGAAGTTAACACAAGTAACAATGTACACGTGTCGTGACATAGCTTAAAAAAATAGATTCAAAAGTAAACCCTTACTGCTAGCAGAGCGTGGTTTCGATCCACGGACCTCTGGGTTATGGGCCCAGCACGCTTCCACTGCGCCACTCTGCTGTTGAAGGGAGTTCTGTTAAAGGTTATCAATTGCTAAGGGTTGTATTCAAATCTGCAAAGTTTATAAATTTGATATCAACTCTTTATCCTCTTTATGAGAAAAATTTGCACATATCACATTGCGTCATTCGATATACACGTGTGATACATTTAAAAATACATTTATATGTTATGATCTTGTACAACTTTGTTGTTATATATATATGACACTTGAAACTAAATATGTGCTATTTTACACATCATTTTTTGAAATGTGGTGATTCTGGTCACATATTTACAGTCAGTTTACGATGCGGCTAGCCAGGATGTAAAATAACCACTTCCCTCATTGAAGCTGTACGGCACGGCTGGTAGTATCGATTAAAGTACGAATAGCCTAGCCAATTTACGAATTACTAATTTCATGTCTTGACTTAGCCCTAACATATATATTGTGCAATATTTATACGAAATAGTACTAAAAATATTGCGCACATTAAACATGATTTTTATAGGTATTTTACACACACACACACACACACACACACACACACACACACACACACACATACACACACACAGAGAGAGAACGATTTGTTGAATCAAATAAGTGTTTCTTTAGAATAGTCCAAATAAATTTTTCGGTTGACACAAAAAAAATATTTCTTTGGAATTAAGCCGCAAATAAATATTTTTTTGTGTCAAATAAAATTTTATTTGATCAATCAAAAAATTCGTTTTCCAAAGAAGTGTTTATTTGATTTAATTAAATCGTTCTCTCTCTCTCTCTCTGTGTGTGTGTGTGTGTGTGTGTGTGTGTGTGTGTGTGTGTGTGTGTGT